CGCCCCGGGTGAGGGCCCGCCGGCGGGAAGCATGGGAGGGCAGCAACGCCGAGAGCCCATCCGCGGAGGGACGTGGCTTTCCTCCTCCAATAATGCTCAGTAAAATACTCCTCCTTGTCGGAGGAGGGGCTGCATTTTGCACAGGATAATTAAACATGTCCGTATGCATGCATATTAAATACATTTTAACGTGCTGCCAGGATGGGCAGCAAGCACCCCCCCTGCACCCCGCTCCCCGCAGGAGGCAGGTGCAAGGTCCAGCCTGGCTCCAGCTGGTTTTTAACCATTTTCACCTAGGAACGAGTAGAGAGACCTGGGAGCAGGCAACTTTCTGCTGGGTACTTGGGCACCAGGGGGATTTAGGCACTTCATGAACCAGGCAGAGAAAGAGCTTGGGTTTTGAGGCCGCCCGTTGCTGACTGACAGCCTCCCCAGGTCATTCCCTGAGCTCCCCTGCACGGAGCAGAAGATCAAGCATCTCCCAGCCTCACAGGGTTGTTGGAAATCTCCTGGCTGAAGACCCCCAGGTCCTTCGCTAACCCATGGTAATGGAGATGCAGGCAGACCTCAGGAAGAGCAATGCCAGCCGTGTTTTCCGAGGTGCAGCACCTCTATGGATGAGAAATGAGTCACTGCTCTCCGGAATATACAGGTTTGGCTGAGTTTGAAAAAAATAATAACCACCCGTGTGTCACTGTCTTTGAAGGCTACTCATTGCTGTGCTTTGGGAAAACCTCACGTCACGCAGCATCTCCCGTTACCTTCCTCCGATTCGTGGCCGTCGGCTCCCGCGTCCTGGATCTCAGCTGCTCCCTGCTGTAGCGTCCCGGCGTTCTCCTCTCGCTTTCCTTTAGGAAATACAAAGCAGAAGAAATGGATTGATGGAGCAGTTAGCGATGATAATTAGGTTTTAACGGCTGCAGATTGGCAGCAGATTGTCAGAGCAGATTAAAAAATTGCTGGTTTCTTTAGTCACATATTTTTCATTGCATCCAGTGTAGCCGCCAGCTAAAATTTGTCCCTAACTCTGAATTGTTCTGAGTCGTTGTCACAGCCACCATAGGTTCGGAATATTGACTAACACACACAGTTATTCATGAGGCTGTACGTAAAACAGAGCTTTTCTTCCCAAACACTTGAAGAAAGGCAGCCTCGTACTTTACCTTCGCATTGCTTCTCTCCATCAAAATCCCCACGCATCACGTCCTCTGCCAACGAATTTCTGGTTTCCTCCAGGTTTTCTTTGGCGAGCGGAGCATCAGGGCTCGTTTCTGCGTTCGCGTAAGGACCTGTCCCGACAGACTTTGCTATTTCATCGACGATGCCGATGAGCTGGAGCGGGCCCTTCTCCGGGGGCACGCTCCCGTTGCACTCGGGCATGCTGGGTGCCGCTGGGACTTCTTCTGTCATGCTTGGGGCCGTGCAGCTCCGGGCCCCGCTCTGCAGCCCGGGGTGGGGAGCGCTGCTCCTCGCTCCTCTTCCCCCAGGGACGGGGCTCCCCGGCTCGGCTGGGCTCGGCTCGGAGGGTCAGTGCCC